CTTCGATATGATAAAAATAACACTGAATGGATGAGTTTCCCTATGGCCATCCAAAGGACTCTGAATGATGTCTGAGACAATGCAAACTTCATATTTCATGTCTTCTGTGGCTGCTCTGGGCCATCCTCTGGATCTTTAAATCAAATGTAGTCAACTCGCTATACTCTTAGTGAATTCTTACTGTTGCTTAGTACAACCAGCCACAAATTTGCAGGTTACTTTACTGTATTTTATAGGAATAATGGGAGCAAGTTGCCCTGTAAACCCAGCCAGTTGCTTAGATGCTGAACTATAGATTTAGGAGATTTCTTTCCTGGAGTCCCATTTCAGACATTTAATCCCTGCTGATGCTTTTTTTGTTGAGAAAAAACACAAGCATATATATAGTAAACACAGGGTTTTACAAGTTTACGGATTGAAACAGGGTAGAGCTGCATTCATTCAGTCAGGTGCAAGTCCTGTACATGCAAATGAATTTGACATGTTAAGGATATTCATTGAAACCTGCAGTCATTCTCTCTTTTGAATCTGAGATCAAGAAAGCTGCATACTGTTCTTGTATCTCTGAAACAGTTAAAGTTGGAGGAATAGCAGCATATCCATAGTTCAGAGCAGATGTGGTTGATTATGTGACCTGAGAGGCATCTGGCACTAATGACTGTGGAACCACAGGCTCTGATTTGTCATACTGTACCTCACCTGTGTTCTCCAGAGAGTGAGACTGAGAAAAGAGAAATTACTTTATTCCCAAAATAATTATTAAAATTATAAAATAACCGTTTTAATGTGACACTAAAGTTTCAATGAAAAAAGAGGTATTTCTACTCAAAGCTATAGTGTACAAACACTCAGATATTGCACACCTAAAAGTATTTGACAGTCAAACAGTATAAGATTTATTGATAAGGCAAGGTAAAAATTACAGTATATGCTGTCTCTTTACATAGCTGCCTTATACTTACCTTAAAGTTCTTGAACATAATATCACTTTTTTTTCATATTAAAGAATACAGATTAGAAATTATATTTTACTTGGAGAAATACTTACCCCACAAACTTCAAAGAGCCACGTAATAATCCAGCTTGCCAGCTGAACCTAAATAGATTCTCTGAGTTGTTGGTGATATATATTGTACCATTTGAGACACTCCCACTGTTAGCCTTCAAGGAGTCATCTTTAAAGTCGCTACCTTTTGTCATGACCTTTTGATTCATTGCACTTTGAAACACTGAGTAGACCAATGTCAGACTGGTAGTCCGTCTGCAGCAAGTCAAACTTTATTTATTGAAGGAAAACCTAATTTAAAAAATTGAATTATTTAAGCTTTTGCTGTAACTTACAAGGCTGTCCAAAGCAACTGGAGTTCAAGTCTAAAACTATGTTTCATGCAGTTCTTTTGAATGTACACGTTAATTGATTGGAGCGTATAGGCAACTGGAGCCAAATGGAAAACAATTGCAAAAAAACTGAGAAAAAAAATGGTGTTATAAATAGATCCAGTGAAACATAATACATTCTTAATAAACCAAGCTGTAACATTGGATCAGGTGATTCTCACAATCAAGTGAAGCTTAAGATTGCAAAATATTACAGGAAAATAAGACCTTGTCATAGTGTAGTGATCTGGGAGTGAGAAAACTATTCCCACCGCAGTCCATCGTTAGTGAGCATCCACAGATATAGCTGAGGAAAGAGTCTTGTATTATCAGGGAGAGCAAAAAAGTGCATCAGTCTCTGAAAACATAGCTATTCCTTTTCTTCTCCCCTATGGCACTGTAAGTACAGGAAGCACTGTAGTACAGCACTCCCACCGAGCGTGAAGGCAAAAGTGGATACTGGGCTAACTGCTGAAGGGCTGATATATGTGTGACAACTCACTGTACCATCTGTGCAGAGGAACAGAAGGAGGTTCGCTATGGACAGTGACCATCTGATATTGCCAAAATAATGCAATTCCAAGCAGAGCCAGCTGCAGGATGGTCATTCTATTCAAAGGGGTTTGAAATGTTTTTTTTTTTTTCCATGTAAGAACAAACCCAAAACTTTCTGTTTACTTTTCAAGACCAAAATAGTACTGAAAGTTGTTTTGGTCTGACAAAATGCAGAAGTATGTTCCTGGAGTCCAAGGACTGGTGTGGTTTATAGCTTGTACTTGTTAAAAGCACAGCCACATCTATTTCTGTACCTAGGTGAGACCAAATTTTTTTACCTGAGGTTAAACTGTTGAGACTACAGCATACATGCAGAGGAAGGGAGAAGGGCTCTGAGGAGAAAGCACGTTTTGCTAAAACTTCATTTTGATAGAAACATTCAGAGCAGCAGTGTTGAGATGAATTAGAGGTCTGAGGGTAGGCATGGCAGGGGAAGAGATCTGAGGAACAATCAGGAATTACATATTTGCTGCACTGAAAGTCAGACCCCAGAGTATTCAGATATTCAGAAATGGATTTTTAATGATCCAGTAGGATTTAAAGGATGACTGAGGGTCAGCCTTTAATTTTTGTTCTCCACAGGTCATGGCAACAAGGCCCATAGTACATGCACAGGACATTCTCATAGATCTTCCATACCTACCTTTTTACTATGGCAGGTGAATAAACTACAGAATCTTTCCACAGGAACGTTCATGGTCTGTTAGACAATCATAATGCACAATATCAAATACAACTCAGTTGTAAAAAGCTATTACTCTTTATTGAATAATAGACTTGATGAGCAGTAAAGAAACAAATCTGGCATCTGTAGAGGCCATAGGGGTGGATAATAGAAAGGACTCCTGTCATTTTCACTGGACCAAGGACCAAGAGGGCCCACCTTATGAGCCTGTTTGCCAGACATCTGCTACGTAAGCATCACAGTTTTTATTGCTGACATGATGTTATACGGTATGGAATATCCCTTCGGCCAATTCAGGTCAGCTGTCCTGGCTGTCTCCCCTCTCAGCTTCTTGTCCACCCCCAACTTACTTGCTGGAGACAGGGGCAGAGTGCAAAAAAGAGAAAGTCTCAATGCTGTAAAGGCACCGTTCAGCAACAGCCAAAATATTAGCGTTACCAGCACTGTTTTAGCCAGAAATACAGAAGACCGCCACAGGCTGCTATGAAGAAAGTTAACTCCATCCCAGTCACACTCAGTGCACCCCAGTGCAGATAGGAGACAATTACTTTAATATATTCTGAAAGTATGATTTGGAGGATACGGTACTTCAGAGGCAATTTTATCCATTATGAAATTCTGGACTGAGAAAGCCTTTCCCCTCAGTGGTTACCCCTCTGTCGTTTAGGAAGATAATTTCCCACTCATCGGGCAGAGGGCTGTAGAACTGGCAGGATGAGAGATTACAGACTTAGAACAATCTTCCTCCGAGGCCAAGCATCTTATGGCCTTGAAGGAGTGTGTTTTTTCAGGAACATGTCAAACACCAGAGTTTCGAGGAAGAGTTTTCTTCGAAAGGTCTCTCAGTAATACTGAAACCCCACACACACCTTTTGCGTCCATTATTGTTTTTAGAATGGCAGGTCAGACAAATGCAGGTAGTTTGCATTTGCAGGTAGTGTTGCAGAAACACTTGAGTTTCTGGTGGTGGTAACTTACACCTTGCTGTGCTTTTGGTTCATGGATGAAACATAACAGGCAAGAGACAAGGTACATGGCAAGATATTCAAAAGTGTTGAGTGCCTAAGGCATCTTTCAAATCAGGATTCAAAAAGCCAGACCAATTAAATGCTTTGAATACCTTTATTGCTGCCACACTATATGGTTCAGGAAACTACTACAGTTTAACAGGACTACTATAGTTAAAATTACTTCTGAGCTATAGTTTGTTGTTGTAAATGGAAAACCACATGCACTCATGGCATGCAACATGTCAGACTACGTGCCTACACATGATCTACTATATGTCTACACATGATGCTGGCAGCAGGAGAGAAAAAAGAGAAGAAAGCAATATTCAGCTTTCCCCAGAAACAACACACAGGCATGGCACAGCTGAGGACAATGGAGGTGCAGCCAACTTTTTGGGGTCAGACAACACGTCACTGCAGGGTTTTTGAATTCCCCCTGAAACCTGCCCAGGCTTTGTCAGACAGACAGCTGGCATCATTGTGAAGGTGTTTGTGGCTTGGACTTGCACAGGAGGGTAATGGGACTGCTCTAGTCTCCTGAGGGACACCTTACTGCGCAACACTGATGAGCCCACAGTCCCTCACGAGGTGCTGCATCATACTGCAGAGGCTTTCTGCCAAATCACAGCCAGGCAAGGACCATAATGCCCCATGGCCCTCCAGAGAGCAGCAGGACTTCTCTTTGCCATGCTGAATGGGAAGACCTCTTCCCGAGGATAGCTTTTGTGTCTCTACCCCTGTGGGAAGACCTCTTGTCACTTCAGAGGTCCTTCCCAAAGGGGAGGGCTGGAGAGGGTACCTGAGGAGAAGAGCAAGGTACAAATGCAGCTACGTATCTCCATGCCCAGTATCTATGTGAAGCTGCACTCAGGACATGAACAGGACCTGTGGGTTTCACTGCCATCCTGGCAGCCAAGACCCTCCCCTCATGGTGGTGTTAAGGCACTGGAGATGGAGTTGCTGGAGACATGCAGGAGGGAAATAGAGGGTTCAGCACTGGGCTATCTCTGTCTTGGGACCTGGCAGCTGGGGAGGAAAGTCTGCAACACCTTCTGGAGGCTTGCCCCACCACCAGCCTTGCCGTACAGCCAAAGAACGGAAGCATAATTTTAGATTTCTTATTTACACAGCACTTCACCCAACTGTTCAGACAACCCAACTCCAATCAGAGTTTGCATGGCTCAGAATGAAATAATGAAATAAGCGCCACTAGCATTCTCTCTTTTGACAAGCACTCTAAACAGGAAAAGCACACTATCATTTTTTCAGCTAGCCTTGCCAAAGCAGCTATAAACATGGTGTTTATATCTTACTCCTTTCTACCACGGTATTGTGCTCTTTTGGGGAAGAAACAAGTAGAACCTGCTCTACCCCTAGGGGGAACAACATCGGCCAAAGAAGAGAATGTTCTTGCCTGGATTGTGTTTGATCAAGAAGAGGAATGGGTGGTCAGCTCTGAACTCGTGAGGAATGTGGAAGGTTATTTGTGATCCAAATACAATAAACCCTATAGCAGCAGCTGCCTCAGTGCCTTCTTAATTAACTTCCACAAAGGACTTGTGGATAGCCTTGGAGAGGAACACCCCAGGCTCTCTTGACATCCCAGAGAAATCAGCTTGTTCAGGGATGAAGGCATCCCTCATCCCCAGGGCCTGCGGAACTGGTTCGAGCTCGCAGCTCTCCTCCATTCTGAACCGGGGCAAGTATACTGTGATTTCTTGCAAATACACATTCTCCATGTTGGTCCATTCTGCTAAATTCTCATAGGTAACAGCACTCTCTAGCTGCAAGGAGAAAACACAGGGCATCACCGCCATGAGAAACTAGATCAAAATGCTCACAGCAACACTTTCTTTTAAGGAAAAGCCTGATTTTCATGATGTAGACAGAACCTGTGCCCTGCAGCTACCAAGTGTGAAATCAGGCAAATTCAGATCCAGCCTTCCCATTTGTTCAGATTCTCACCAGACACCAATACAGCATCATGTCTTGATACTTTTGCAAGGAAGAAGTAAGGTAAGGTCCCTTCTCTAGTGCTACATTTTGTCCACTGAAATAGGTATTAACTCCCTTGGAAAGGCTAGGAAGTGTTGCTTTTAAGCAGGTTTTCTCAGTCTTTCTCTGCTCTTCTGAAGCACTCTATAAACATGAATCTCTCTAATCTTTACACAGGCAACAGCATTCCACCTATGGAAATCAAGATAAAACCCATAACAATAAGAGATACGAGCTTGACCTGCATGGCTAGGAAGCATCTTGATTAAGTAGTCGATGGACAGGTAGTTTCTCCTCCCAGGAGCAAGGAGCAAGGAACAGGACTGTTACCTGTTCAAGGCCAGTAGACTCGTCATAAATGTTTTCTGGCAGAAGAATGAACATGCTGAGCTCTTTTGCAGAATATGGGAGCTCCAGCACTGTCACTTGCTCTTCTTGTCTTCTGGATAATTTATATTGTCCTGTCTGACACATCATTTGCACATTCCTGTGCTCTCTCTAAAATACAGAAAGTCAATCAATAGGCAGAAAAAAACAGGCAAAATAAAGCACATAATAAACCCCACAGGATCAGCCTGCTTGAAATTGCTTGTTCATTTTCCATGAATACTCCTCAAACCACCATATATTTTTGCTGAGGGCATTGTCAGAGGCTTGGGCTCCATGAAAGCCGTAACAGTTTGCACTGCTCCTCTAACTCTTTCCTAAAGGATAATGCCATGCCAGCTTCCACTACAGCTCCTGGGAAAGGCTGATGTGCCCTCAGCAAAGTCTCCTCTATAACTTATCCTCTTCAAGGAGGTTCCAAAGCTTGCCTTCACATGACCTGTCTCAAAGGCACTTGGGAAGAGGATGCTGCTTTCCCATTTCACAGGGTGAAGGCTCTTGGCTTGGATAAACTGGGCCCCCACACTTGAGCCAGGCAGAGACTTGCCCTGCAGGCAGCAGAGCACAGGTTACTAGGACTTTCCCCACTTTCCCGTGCTCCCCATGGCTCTTGTCCCAACTGTACCTTGTTCAGCCAGAAAGGCATTTCCCTGGTGTTTTTCTCCACAAATTTTTCAGCCCATTGCCCTTTGAAGTATATAGCGCTGGCCAGAACTAGCACCGTTGTGTGATCAACAGAGCCACAAGGCAACAGGTCTTTAATTTTCCCTTTAAAACAACAAACAAGGGTGAATTATGCTTTTATTTTGACCACTGACTGAGGATGATCCCATTACTTCCTCACTTGCAAGAACTGTCCGTTCGTGGCCAGAATTGATCTGCAGCTTTAGCAGAGTCAAAGCTCCCAGGAGCTCAGGGCCATCTTATGCCCCAAGCTGCTTTTACAGTAACCACAAGCAAAATTAATCACTCCATAGCATTTCTGAACACTGCTACACTCCAGAAGAGGAAGAAACTCAGACACTAGCTATTGACTTCTCCTGTGGTCATGATGCACACTCCCCAAGCCGCTAAGTGCTGGCCTTGTCCTTACCACTGGTTTGCTTTTCCACCCAGGAGTTAATCTTCCCTCTGGACTCTTCAGCAGTGTTAATGAAGCTCACCACTTCCAGCTCTGCTTGGTACAGGGCCCTTGTGGAGTCTAAGTATTGCTGCAAGACAGGGAAGAGAGGTGTCTTTCACAACAGTAATCGGGGAGCTACTTGACCACAGGGAAAAATAGGAGGCCAAGAAATGGATGCCAACCTGTATGTCACAGGTCTGTGTGGGGCTATTTTTTCCAGTATTAATGTCCTGCATCTGCTCTGTGGCTCTTCTGAAGAGACTTTCTGGGAACAAGGAGAAGCCAAGCACCCAGTTCCAGGGACACCTTTCAACTAAGAGAGTCTCAGCTCCACTGTCTTTTACTCTTGCTGTTCTTTGTGAGAGCTTTTGCTTTTCACCACAACAACCGTTTCAGCAAGATAGCTGTCAGGGATGGCAGGGCACAACCCTGCCAGCCTGGGCATCACCCATGGTCCCCGCTCCCCTGCCCTTGCGGAGCAGCCTCTCCACTGCTGCTCCCTGGTCCTGGTTGCAAGCTGGCCCTCACCTCTTGTCCCTCTGCATGTGGAGCCCCATTCCCTTCAAAGCACCAGCAAATGAAAAATAACATGCAAGGACTTCATTTTCCACACTGTGCACAGCACGAATGTGCAGAAAGAGCACTTTGGGATCAGGCCATGAAAGTTAGGTCTCAGAATATCAAAGCATAAAGAAACATCATTTTGGTGAAAATTGCCATTAAGGTCTTTCAAAAGCATTTTTGTCTCCTCCTCAGGAAATGTAGACTCTTCTCAACTTTTTACAAATGCCTATTTAACCTTGTAAGTAACTCTCTTTATTCTCTGCTCACTCTGTAACTCATTCATCTGTGAGAGCTTGCTTTTCTGTCACAGCATCAGCAATACCGAAACGTGCAACTAGACCTCCTCAGCAGAAGTTCAAAGTATAGTACAGAAGTTTTTTAAAGCCACAAAACCTACAAATGGTTGTCACTTACCTGAAGGAACTGGTAAGTCACTTCTCCAAAGAGCTTATTGGCAATCCTGATGGAGCATGTGGAACTAGCTTTGCCAAGGGCAGGCAGAAGCTCCTGGAACTGAGAATGGTCTCCTCCGGCTTCTTCACACTGTGAGCAGCAGGGGAAAGCTTTCTTTAGCAAGATGCTCCCCTGGCGATCCACCTGTATGCCCCCAGGCTGAACTCATAGTTGCTCTCCCCAAATGCGCTTGTGGGGCCAAGGGGCACACAAAGACCCACAATCATATAATTGTAGAATCATGGAATCATTAAGGTTGGACTAGACCTCAGGATCATCAAGTCCAACCATCAACCCACACCACCTAACTCACTAAACCATGTCCCGAAGCACAACATCTACACATTTCTTGAACACCTCCAGGGATGGTGACGCCCCCCCTTCCGTGGGCAGCCTGTTCCAATGCCTGATCACTCTTTCAGTGAAGAAATTTTTTCTAATATCCAGCCTAAACCTCCCCTGGCGCAACTTGAGGCCATTTCCTCTTGTCCTATCACTTGTTACTTTAGAGAAGAGGCCAGCACCCACCTCACTACACCCTCCTTGTAGGTAGTTGTAGAGAGTGATGAGGTCTCCTCTCAGCCTCCTCTTCTCTAGACTAAACAACCCCAGCTCCCTCAGCCGCTCCTCATAAGACCTGTGCTCCAGACCCTTCATGAGCTTCGCTGCCCTTCTCTGGACCTGCTCCAGCACCTCAGTGTCCTTCTTGTGGTGAGGGGCCCAAAACTGAACACAGGATTCAAGGTGCGGCCTCACCAGTGCTGAGTACAGGGGCACAATCACTTCCCTAGTCCTGCTGGCCGCACTATTGCTGATGCAGGCCAGGATGCTCTTGGCCTTCTTGGCCACCGGGGCACACTGCTGGCTCATGTTCAGCTGTCTGAAAGATGCGTCTTGGCTTCCTGACCATCCAGTGTTGCATAGTTGTCTCCCTCCCCTCCTGTAATTTCCACCTTGAAAAAGGATCATCCTGTTTAAATCTAGCAACACTTTACACAGCAAAGCAATGAGGTCCCTTTTGCATGTGCACACAGGTTTCAAAGTTTGATGAGAACAGGGCTGAACTCTGCTCTTACTGTGCCTTTGGATGAAGTACTGCCATTTAGCAGGTAAGTCTGCCTTGCCCTGCTTTGCTTCACACTACAGTTCAATGTTATCACACAGTTAGATACTGTCTCACCTTTCCAGTTGAGGTCTTGGTTCCTGGGCTTGCTGTGCTCAGCACCTCATGAAGATGAAGCACCTGCCATATAAATTCAATATAAATCTATATAAATAGATTAATGAAGATACAAATAATGCATTGAGGTTGCAATGCAGCCTCATGGGCACTGCAAGTAAGATAAGCATGTTTGGAAAGGAGAGCTTTGAGACCTGTAGCTACCACCTCTTTCAGTTTGCTATTTGTCAAGAACATGGCCCGGACTGTCAGAAGACTCCTGCCTCTTCTTTGTTTCCAAATGTAAGCTTCTAATTGCAGTCCCCGGGAAAAGGAAAAGGAAAAGAAACCCACCTTCTCCATCTCTTTGGCTGTGTTGCCTCTGGCACCCAGCTGGACCATGCTCAGGGCAGCTGAGATATTCAGTGGGGAGAAGAAAATATTTTCATTTATTTTTCTTTTTCTCAGTTCTTTGAAGATGTCCAGGCAGAACTTGGCATTTGCTGGACTGAGGGAGCCCATTGTGGTGTGGCCAAGGCCTGCAACAGGACAACCAGGGAATCCATCTCACAAACATTGCCATCGTCAGAGCACACAGGGCAGAGAGAGTTGGAAACACAGAGCCCTTCTCAGGAAGCTCAGCACCCCAAGCACCAACTCGCTCCTGGGAGCAGGTTTCAGACCACAGTTAGCACTTCATAGCAAAGTCCACCCCCACCCTGACCCGAACAGCCACCTTGGGGCAAATCATGCCTTTAGGCACACCCTTGCTCTTCCGCTGTCTGCTCCAGCTAGCTCCACACTCACTTTTATGCCCTTTTCTTGCAAGAACTGCCACATGGCTTGGAAGTATTGGTCAGCCTTCAGACACCGTGCTTCACTGAAGTATACTGTATAAAAACTATTATTGTTTGTATATTGTCTAAAACATGAAGCACGTAGTACGAAAACAGCCAACAGGGAGACCAGCGTACTGGATTGCCAAGTCATAGCCACACAACAACATGGAAAGACCTTCCTCTACCTCCTGAATTTGAGGGAGCAAGTTCAGCCACATCCCAGCACTTCTAAGGTAACTGCCTTGCCATTTATCTTCTTTTGCCTTTTAAGGGCATTACCAAATTCCCTCCTGCTGTTGAGCAAGCTTGTTCACTTGAGCAAAGAATTTGGCTGCATACTTCTTACATCCCGGAATTATTGTGACATCCGTGAAATGTGAAAGTCAGCCCTGTAGGCAGAAGCGTCACAGCCTGCCTTTGTGCATGGCTGCAACAGACTTTGCTCCCATCCAGCTTCTGTTTCCAGTCCAATCACTGCCCTTAGGGAAGCTAAAGCTGAGAAAGTTACCTTCTCCTGGGAAGATCTGATGCTGGCAGCTTCTTCACTGATGGAAGGCTGTGTTCTGCCTTGTCTTAAATCAAAATGGACCGCTGCGTAGTCTGGCTCCCTGCCCAGTTTATTTCTGAAGAAGGAGCATGCCCAGGGAAATCAGAGACAACAGCCAGAGTACCAGGAGAATGGTTTTTCACATCCTGCAGCAAAGCAGAAGACACTATCCAGTCTCTCCTGGTTTTCACTTTCTGAAACAAGTAGTGAAAGAAGAAAATATGTTTTTTTCCCCGCCCAGAGAGGAGGCACCCTGTTGATGCTGCTGCATCTCATTAGCATGCTCTGCAGAATCATCTGAAAGACATGACGAGCATCTGCAGAAAGCGTACAGTAACAGCAAGAGTCAAACAGAAACAAATCAGAAAATAAGAGTCTGATATGCAGTGTCCAGAGAGGCACCTCTCCCTGAGGAACTTATGTGCGTCTGATAACCTCTGTCTGGTGGGGAGCTCTGACAGTCCTGCAGCAGATAATAGATCTCGGCCCATAGCCACAACATGTTATTTCTTCTTTAACCCAGGCCTTCCTGGAGACGTGCAATGATCTGGCCTGTGCCCCAGCAGCTTCTCTGCCTGAGGGCTGCGCTTCACTGGGGCTGCCTCAGTGCAGGCACTTTGGCTGTCTCGGGCGTCTTAACATGTTTTGCTTCCTGTGTCAGCAAGAGCCAGAGAGCAGAGGGAGCACACGATGGCCTTCAGCAGCACAACCCAACCTGAGTTTTGAGCATCTTCTGAACTGTGGGTCAGGAGGTGGCAGGCCTAACCAGGTGCTACAGGACCTGGTCCAGAGGGCAGAAGGGGCTGTAGTTAGAATCACAGAATAGTTCGGTTTGGAAGGGACTTTAAAGATCATCTATTTCCAACCCCCCTGCCATGGGCAGGGACACCTCCCACTAGCCCAGGTTGCTCAAAGCCTCATCCAGCCTGGCCTTGAACACCTCCAGGGATGGGGCATCCACAGCTTCCCTGGGCAACCTGTTCCAGTGTCTCACCACCCTCACAGTGAAAAATTTCTTCCTTATATCTAATCTAAATCTACCTTCTTTCAGTGTAAAGCCTTTTCAGTTTAAAGTTACACATCTTTGGGAACAGACCCTGGCACCAAGATGCTCCCATAGGGCAATAATTTTAGGGAACAGGGTCTTCCATTGACCTCATGCAGGAAAAGGGTAAGAGGGGGTGAAGTGAAGGCACTACCATCCCTGCTTAGGAGAGCTCAATATGGCCATCACTGCTGGTCATGTGCAGGGAAGAGCACTGAGCTGGAGCAGCTCCTTCATTCAAACTGGTGCTCCTTCCCCCTCCAAGGCTGGATGTGGATTTTTCCCCACAACACCAAAGACAGTTAGACACTGCAATCAGAGCACTTTCAGCTGAGGTGCTCAGCTCTGAATATTTGCTGCTGTACTCCGGATATGGATCTGATTTCCTGACCCCTAGGTCTAGCCCATATGTTTCAGCAGAACCGCGCGGGGAGCTTGAGGCATCATTGATGTTTTGCCTTTAGGCTTGACATGCATATGGGGCTCATGCAGCTTTTGTTGAGCTCCACAATCAGTGTCAGGCTGCACCTCTGGATGGCTTGCACAAAACAGCAACCAAAAAAGGCAGTAAGGTGGCGTTGGTCCTGTCTGGGAGCCCAGGAGTTTCTGGGAGCCCAGGAGATACATGAAAGGCCCGTGGGTATGTCTTCTAGGATCCTTCATACTCATCATCATTCGTGAACAAGGAAATGAACACCATGCTGCCAAAGCACCTGTTCATCTTTTGACCCTGGAGGCTGTTATCCTTCACAAGCAGCGGTCACGTTTTTCACGGTGTTTCCCCCTGGTGTCTCGAGACTGGGCATTATGACTATTTCAGGCCAACAGGCACTGTCCTCAGCACTCCTCCAGGCAGAACATCATACTTCTCACAGGAGACCAGCAGCTGACTCCATTGAGCAAAATGCAGCTAAGCCGCCATATGGATATCACATTAGGATTGTACTACTGTAATTTGAAAACACGATTTGGGGGAATTTCCCCTATTATGAAACTGTGGATTGAGAAAGCCTTTCCCTTCAGTGGTGGCCTCTCTACTCTTCAGCAAGATAATTTCTCACTCGGCAGGCTGAGGGCTGTGGAAAAGGTGGAACTGGTCATTGCTGGCCTGTGTTTGGGATTGCTTAGTGCTGGCAGATTGCAGGGGAGAGAAGTGACCGGTAGCAGAGCAGGCTGTAGTGGAGGGCACTTGGAAAAGGGGCTTTCAGGGGTGTGAGTGGAGGCAGAGCTGCAGCTGGTGCTGTGAGGCTGCAGGCTGCGACGAGTGCTGTGCCAAAAGCTAGCTGCCTTGCAAGGCGTTGCGCAAGAAAAGCAGACATCCATCAGGATGTGCAATGGAGGTCCTTCAGCAGTGTTTTCCCAGAATGTTTAAAATTGTTGGTAAGTATATGGAAAAGCTGGACCCTGTTTCCAAACTTTAGCAGTCAAGTGAGGGAGTAACAGAAAACAATCTTGGAGCTGTGTAGGTGGCAGGGCTCTTATACAAAAGCTGTGTTGCATTATCTCAGAATTAACTTATAGTTTCATGCCTGAGGATTCCAATGAAAAAGCTGCACAGCAGCACTCTCTGAAGAGCTGAAAGGATGCTCACAATCGAAGTACTTTATTTGCTTTTTTCTTTTCTAGGCAGATATTAAGAAAGTGAGGAAAACACAAAGATAGAGCAAAATATCATTATTGTTAGCATACTCACCTAGCTATAGATACTTGTTTTCTGTTAAAGTGTTATTGGATTAAAATAAGAATAGTCCTAGGAGAAGAGACTGGAAGCCAGAACTCATCTACTAGATGTCCTAGCTATTGAACTGCAAAGTTATCAGTCCTTGAGCTCTCCTCTTGTGTCATTCAGTTGCATTCATTCAAGTAAGGGTACAACTCCAAAAGGAAGGTGGGCGGTTTTCCCACCCAGCCTATGCTAAAACCTAGTGCCTGATAGTGCTTGGTGCATTCTCCTGGGAGACGCAGGCTTTAAGTCCAGCGAGGGTATGGGACACACTGAAGGCAGGCCTTTCACCTCCTGAGCCACATGAATTTCTCCACTGGAGAAGTTATGTTGCATTTTCACTTAAAAACCCAAAGTTGCTCTAATGGCATGTTCAGGGAGCCCTATTTGAATAGCTTGCACAAGGTCTGCTTTGAACACATTCACTAGATGCTCTCCAGGGACTTGCACCTTGTTCCACCTTGTTGCTGGATTTCAGCACTGGCAAAGCATGTCATTGCTCATATCAAGGCAGTTCAGAGCAAGCAAAGAAAAACACTAGCTGCTAAAGAATTTATGAAAGGTGGAAATAAAATGCCTACAAATTTTGGATACTTCCACATGCATAGGAAAAGAGACTTTTTCTTTCAGATGGCTTTTTGGATGTATATGCTTAAAGCCAGCCTATGTTCTGTTTAGGAGAGCCACATCATTATTTTAGTGTTGCTTCTCCTTTCTGAAGCCATCTATAATTCTGTGCATTGCACATGTTACTCACTGATTCTCCATTACATATACACAGAAAAATACAGTCAGGAAATGTGACTTCTGAATCTGTTTTCATAAAGCCTGTGAATACTATGATGTAGTACCCACTAGAAGTGATTATAATTCCATATAGAAAATGAGTGTACTTTACGAAGAAAATAAAATCAAGGATTTACTAAGAGGCAAATTTTTCATAAAGATGGAAATCAAAAGCCTAGATTATCCTACTTCTGCTACTGTATGAATGACTGTACAGGTGGGGTAGAATAGCACCTTGTATAGTACAGAAGGCATGAAATCTCTTACATTACCATCAGTCAAGGCCAGCCTTTCATGTGTGGCAGTTTTATATTGCATCAAATATTACATTATTACAATTAATATTAATAAGTTATAACTGAATAAAAGTTGACCCTACTAGGCTAATGGAATAAAACATAGTGTAATATGGAAGTTAAAAAAAATAAGTGAATTCAAAGCACTACTTCTGCATGATTTTCTGAAACCATCCAAGAAAGTAAGCTGGCACTTGAGACC